ATATCCTAATTAACACAAGTACTTGTATTTTATACATGTTTCCTGGGAAACTCTATCAATTAATTTGATGTTTTTGTTTTATATTGAAGTCATTCGAGCATTTACAATGTTGTGAATGGGAAGATATGGAGAGATGGGGAACATGTACATTCTGATAAGAGTTTGGGGCCACCCACATAGGGTGGTCAAGAGTTGAGGTAGGGTTCTTAAGGTGAAAGGAATTTCAGTAAAAATTTAGAACTTTTAGAGTTCCTAGGTAAAAGGGGGAAATTATGATGTAGGGGGTAAAAACTTAGAAGGTACAGCTCCAATCAGAGGAACCGGTGCCTCAAAAGGGCAGAATTTTTTTTTTCTATACGCAGTGGCAAAGGCTGTGAGTAACTTGAGGGGTCAAGTGGGCTCAAGAAGTTTCAGTATGAAATCAACAAGATGCTAAGGAAACCACCAAGTTGCTACGTGGGGTCCTTTGGAGCTATGGGATGTAAACAGGCTCAAGAGACAAGAGCAGACATGCAGCTGGAAGAGTCCAAATTTAACAGGGGTGCCTGAAAGGACATTCAGAGTTTTCAAACTGTCAACCACATGAGACTACAGAGTTCTATCATACAGAGATAATTTCTAAAACAAAAATTGTAAATATATTTCACTTAGTTGTATAAATCAGAGAAATGTGGAAGAGTTGTACTCCTGGGGTGCATATTTTAAAAGAAGCAATTATGCCCTTTGTCCTTCAACTGGTGGCATCTAAGAGCTGCTGTAAGTATTGCTGGCTCCACTCACATACTAGTAGACCTTGTCAACTCAGGGTTACGTGCACAAATGAATGAACGGCCTGCCCAAGTCAACCTGGAAACTCACTAAATGACATTTAACCTGGATCTATGATCCTGAAGGTCAGCTAAAAGATATTGGACGTGAGTCTAATGACAACACCATGAGAATATGACAGCACCAAAAAGCCATTTGCACCATCCAAGTGGACTACTGAGACCATCGATGGATCAGAATCAAACTTCCAAAATAAATGCATTTCGATCTTTATCTTTCATCTCAATATGCTGTGTAACACTTAGCTTCCTCCTAAAAGTTTATGGTTTTGAGTGACTATTTCCAGATTGACTGACCTTTGAAACAACTTACTTCTTTATTTATAATTGGCTCTTTTGGGAAAATACATTTGCAATTCCTGCCTGAAAAAGACTCCCCTGGAATGACATCCATCATTTGCCCTTTCATCACTAAAATGGTTAGATTTCAGGGATATCTAGCCTTGCAGATCATGCCTCCTTCTGTGCCTACCAAGAGCCCTCAGAACAACCCGTCTAGGCACAAATAGGCCGAACTGTCACCAGCAAATTCCTAAACACCCTGTAGCACATGCCAGTCTTGTGAATTAAGTCATTATGTTAATATCATCTTCCAAATTCCTCTGCTTTTTATTTGTTCAAAAGACATGACACCCATGTTTTTGCATTACTATGATTTTAGGGTAAAAAGGAAGTATAAAAAATTATTTCTGACAAGGAGGTAGAACTGTCATTGGTAAAAATCAATAGTCGTTTATACTTTCTGCTCGTAAAATGCACCTCCTGGCTGTGCCTTTACTTCTATGCCTTCTTGATGTATGCATGGGTTTAATTCTGTGTGCATCTCTGGGAGGCTGCATGGCAGAGTGCACAGGTACAGATTCTGGGACTGCAGTTCTAGGTTTGACTCCTGGTTCTGCCACTCATGAGCTATGTGTCCTCAGACGAGTCATTTACCCTCTTCGTGTCTCAGTCTCTTCATCTATAAAATGGGGATTCCTAACACTTGAGGTTGCTGTGAACTATAAAAAATTAGAACAGCATCCAGCATCTTGCAGGGATTCTGTTTTGTAAAGTAAAATTCTTCTTTTTGTTTAATACATTTACTTTCCAAAAATGTTGTGATTTGGGGGATTTTCTCGTTCCCAAAACATATTAAAATTGAGAGGTATCAAAGTTTTTTATGGAGCTGGGTATTTACCTGTTTACTACAAAATACCAAGAGTAGAGTGGCTTTATGTTAAATCCACATAGAAAAAAACATCCTCAAGGCTTTATTCATTTCATAAATAATGTATTTTATTTTATTGCATATGGCTATTAAGGAGAGCATCCATGATCAATACAGACTAAATACAATGCACTATTCTAGTTCCATTTATTCTTGTCTCCAGCAGCGTCACATTGGCCCTTATATACAGCGTGTACAGTGGAAGACAGAGCAAGATTAGGGAAGTCTTTTGTCATATCACAATAGCAAGAAATATATTTAACATCTTGATATCCAGAAACAATACGTACCCAAAAAGAAAACACTGTTTAATAACTGTTAAAGTTTATATAGCAAAAAATATTTTAAATTTAAGGTAAGTCAGGCAAAATGTACAAAGACCCAATATACATTGTGAAGTTTTAGCAAACATAACATTTATACATTTTGGTTCCATTCTGTAAACTAAAAATGTAAATATTGCATATGCCTTTTTTTTTTGAAATGTACAGGATAGAGGAATATTTAGTATATTATCGACTTTTTATTTTGCTTGTTTTAAGTTGCAGTATGAACATGAACCAGTTGTATAGAGGCATGACTACTCTAGGTATAGAGAACTACTTAAATACGCGCCATACACTGGAATCAGCAGGGTCCATATTCAGTCCTACTGTACCTGGGGGAGTCACATAGCAAATACCATCCATCGATTCCTAGTCCCAAAACTAAATCAAAACTTTAGGACATTTTATACATTTTTTTATAAAGTATATATATTATACACTGAAACTGACCTTCAAACTAACGTATGGTCTATGCACTGCTGTGATGTGTAATTTTAGAAAAGTAAAACTTTAAAAAATGTTCAGGGGGATCACTTTACATTCAACTTTGTCTTGCAATACAATCCTCTGTTCTAAAAGTTCAGCGTGGAAGCAGGAAGACTTTTGCATTGCCATTATATATATTTTTAAGACATTGAATTTTTTGGTCTTCCTCCTAAAAAAGCCTCATTTTTATTAATGCATTAATCTATAGCGATATATATCTATATATTTATATATAATTTTTTTCTCCAAAAAAAGAAAAAGTTCACACCTCCAATGAACTAGTGTAACCTCTACAGGACTATCAGAGAAGATAGGCACTGGGGATGCACCCATGGGGGAAAAAGGTCTCGAGCCCTCTGTCATGTGTCAAGGGAGCAGCGGATGACATGACATTCTGCTGGTCATGGGCAGCAGTTTGGGGTGACACCTGTGGTACTCGCCACAACACTGATATTTTCAGAACACTGAAAACATAAGAGAAGTCTCATCAGGGGTTTTTTTCAACAAATGACATGTACTATGAGATTGTTTCCTTCTTTTTTCTTTTTCCATTAATAATGTAGGCCCTGAAATGCCTCTATCAGTTTTTTTCCTCCACCCCCGCTATTTTTGTTACATTGCTGATCAGGGCAGTCTCGTAGGCCCACACAGTAGCATTATAGTCAAGATAATAAATACATTTATTTATTTTTTTTAATCTGCTAAAGTGGTGACCACCCTTGAATCGCTAGCATGCCGATGTGGGTTTTTGGTTAAAGAAATGCAAGCTCAAGATTAAGGATAGCAGAGACATTTGAGCTTGTAAATAGGATCAAAGGCTTTTGCAATCTGAAGTACCTACATAAACATCTACATAGAGAAGATTAAACAAGTCTGTTAAAGGTAAAAAGAGATACTCACCCCCTCCCCAAACCCCTCCCGGCCCACCCCCCACTACCCAAT